AATTTTTACTATAAAATTACATGTTATGATAAATTTTAAGGTGCGCCTTAATTGGATTGTTTGAGGTTGCAACCTTATAGAAACCGACACCATATATATATATATATATATATATATTGAGAAAACTATATTAGCCTGGGAAAATGATATCCTAAGATTGAAAAACTTCTCCAAATTTTCAAACTCCAAATCTAAATATTAGGAACTCAAAATATTGTGTTCTTTCCTTTTATAGAAGTACTCCTATAGTTATTTAAAATGGATTCCAACCTGTCTTTTCCTCGAGGGAGTAAGTGTATAGTTTGATCCCTCGGGAGTTTGCTACAGACACAAATTAATGTGCACGCTTCAGCACAATAGACAAAGGCAAGTAGGAGTTGGAATATCCGATGTGCTTACAAAGTTACAATGCTATTTAGTCTTCTACCCGTTGGCTGTACCTTGCATTAGAGCTATATATCATTCTTTTGAGCACTCCAAGTGCATAGAAAAAGGAAATTTTAGCATCAAAGAGATATGAGACTCAACTCATTTATAGAAGTAAGATTGTAGAGCTCTACATTGTTCATTTCAAAAAGAAAAAAAAAAAAATTCAAGAGAAAGACTAACACTACCATCTCCACACACATAAAGGTGTGTGTGTGCGTACGGGTTGGTTGAGAGGGAATCCAAAGCCATGGGTGTGCCACATGCACTTGTGATCACCTACCCGGCACAAGGACACATCATACCGATGATGGAGCTCTCGTACCGCATGGTCGAACACGGCTTCTTTGTCACCTTCGTCAATACTGACTTCACCCATAAGCGTGTGCTTGATGCTTCCATGAAGGCCCATCCCCAAAGCCATCCCAACAAAAGCACCGAATCCATCAGACTTGTGTCCATACCTGATGGTCTCGAACCCGATGCAGACCGCAACCAACTTGGTGTGCTATGTGATGCCATACTGAGCTCAATGCCTAATGCACTAGAAATGCTCATAAAGGATATCAATGGCTTAGAAGGGGATAGTGTCACATGCGTTGTGGCCGATGTGAACATGGGGTGGGCACTCGATGTAGCCAAGAAGCTCGGCATACCGAGGGCAGCAGTATGGCCAGCAGCTGCAGGGTGCCTTACAACGCTTCTCAGGTTTCAAGAATTGATCCAAAAAGGAGTGATTACCGAAGAGGGTGATTTTTCTAGTCCCTTTTCTTTTCATTTTTTCCCTTCTTCCTATTTTTCGTTACTTGTGACTTCTCTTCAGTAGTCATTACCAATTATAGGTCATTTTAACTCATATTATCGGAACGGAACATATACAATACAACCATGTCCTTTCAATATAAGAAGGTCACAATCACCTTGAGCAGCATAATGCAAAATTAGGCAATTGGGGGTTTGCCATTAACTACACAAAGTTCGAGAAAAAATTTCTTGATCTTTGTGCAGAGATATGATACCTCAGACCATCCTGTTTTTACCATCTAACAGCAAGGAATAATTGTGGCATTCTTTTACCACAGGTTATTCCCACCAAAACGAAAAGATGGTGATCTATCCATCTAAGCCAGGATTATAAGACTTATAATGTAGAGGAACGATTATATGAAAGCGGGCTTAAATGATTCCCACTAGCCAATGCATTTCTAGGAGTGGGCATCACTTAGGATTTAAAAAGAAAATACGATAATTTCTTTTAAAACCAGAAAATATAGCATAGACATGTCCTTTTTGTAATTCAATTGCAGGATTCGAACTTAAGACATAGAATTGCAATCATCAACGCTCTTAGTTAATCAAGGCCCAAGCCCCAATCCTCACCAACCCCAAAGACATATATAGACGGAAAAGTATAGAATGAGACTGTTTACATTGATACAAGGTGGTCACATTAATCTTGATCATTGAATGTGAAATTGGGTGGCTGCAATTATTTCATTGACTAAGCTCAAACTTCAAAAGAACTTTTCTCAAACTTTGTGACACATCCAAGCTATCAAATTTCACATCAAATAGTTGTAAGGAATTGTGACCACCTTCTATCAAAGGTAAATGGTCTCATTGCATGCAATCCCTATAGACTGATGTGCCTTTTGGTTTCAATTAACAGTGGATCACAAGAAATGAAAGCAAAAATGAAATTTTTATCTGCCTTCTGATCAAGAGTGACCTATTCCCATGGATGGTCCAATAAAAAAAAACAAATGAGGGAGTGAACATCATGTTCGAGCAACTGCATGGATGTACCCCACTCCTCGATTCGACTGCCCAAGGAAATGGACGATCTAGATGACCTTAATTCATGGAAAGTCGTTGAAATTGGACTGTTGCATTTGTTTCACCTATGATAATGGGAATAGGAAATATGCAGTATGATTCATGAGGTCATGATAACAAAATGACCGTGCGGGTTATCACCATCTAATCAAATAGGTTGGACGGTCATGGAGGGAGAGTAAGACATACAGATCAATAAATGACCTGTTTTGTGGGACCTTATCTTGCTCCATCACCGCCCAACCCATTGCCCGAGATGGTGATAACTGCTAGGTCATATTGTTATCATGAACATATTGATCATGTCATATGGGCCCTATATGAAATGCGTAAGACAACGACCCACACCATTGGTGTCGATATGAACCACAATCACAAGACCAATGATGAGAAAATTTTGATTAAGATACGAATCATCTCCACCATCGGTCATAAGCCTCCTCAGATGGTAATCAGATCAATCACAGTTTTTGTAGGACTGGATCTCATAGCAGCATTCTTCAAGAGACTGATATGAGATACAAACATATAACATTTGTAATAGTACTGTAAGTATAGTAATCAGCCAGTTTCACTGTGACAGGTGAATTGCTTGACACCAATATGGTCCGATTCTCCCCAAAGATGCCCCTCATGGACCCCAGACACTTTGCATGGCTCTGTATCGGCGATACTGCCGAAAACAAGGTCATCTATCGATATGTAAATGTTAACATTAAGGGCCTAGAAGGCGTGGAATGGCTCATATGCAACTCATTCTATGAAATCGAATCCCCTACCTATGACATCTTCCTGAACATCCGCCCAATTGGTCCACTACTTGTTATAGGCAGCCAGCCTACACAACCAAAACCAACTTCTCTTTGGACAGAGGATAATACATGTCTCGAGTGGCTCGACCAGCAACCTAACAATTCTGTCATATACATATCATTCGGAAGTTTCACAATCTTCAATGAGCGCCAATTTCTCGAGCTTTCGCTCGCACTGGAGAACTTGGGTAGGCCATTCCTATGGGTAGCTCGTCCTGACCTCGTTGATAGGTCTGGAGCGGATTACCCTGAGGGGTTCTTAGGTCGGGTGGCTGCCTATGGGAAGGTTGTGGGTTGGTGCCCACAAAAGAATGTGTTGGCCCATCCTTCTATAGCTTGTTTTGTGACCCACTGTGGTTGGAACTCGACTCTTGAGGGGCTTAGCAATGGTGTGCCTTTCATATGCTGGCCTTACTTTGCTGACCAGTTCTTGAACCAGACTTACATTGTGGATATATGGAAGGTTGGGGTGGGATTGAAAGCCAATGAGGATGGGCTGTTCTCCAAGGAAGAGATAAAGAGCAAAGTAGAGGAAATGCTGGGTGATGAAGGAATAAGAGAGAGGGTTCTGAAACTCAAAGAGGAAGCCATTAGGAGTGTCACTGAGGGACCTTCAATGGAGAATCTTAATGGTTTTATGGAAGCCATGAAAGGAAAATCATAAGGTATTGTCCTTGGGAACCTCTCTCTTGCATAACTAGGAACCCCATGACATGTAATTGATATCATTACATAATTCATGCAATGCTTTTGAGAGAGAGACAGGTCATGTCCGTTCTAATGAAGGAAGACAAAGATTAGAAAGAGATTAAAAGATCATTTGACCATGTTTGTTTGTTGTTTGTTTTGATGAATGAAAAGAAACAGCCTTTGCAATTTCTGTTACCACTCCTTCTACTCATTCCTTCATTTAAGATTTTCCATTTAATGAAATTGAAATTACTTTCATTACTTGTTTATATTAGTAGGCAAGGTTTAAAAAAAATGGATATGTGACCTGATTGCCCCTCTAGATTTTAGATCTGGTTCGGCAATATGGTTTAATAAACTGGAAATTAAAAAATAATAATAATAATAATAATAATAATAATAAAATATTTAAGTGAGGCCAGTTCTCTGACAAAATGGCTGGTTCGGTCAAAAAACCATATAGAACCGGCGAAAACCTTCCCTAACTATTTGTTTCTAGTCATTTAAAACATAAAAAATTAAAAAAATAGTGTGGCCGGTTTTGACCAGTTCTATTAGAGAATTGGTCAGTTTTGTCAGAGAACCGGCTAATTCATTATGGCAACCAACCAATTCCCAATATTTTATAGTATCCAAATTGGCATGACCGATTCTAGATCGAGATCAACTAGTTCTAATCCCTATCACTAATTTTTCAAACATTGTCAATAGGTACATAAATCTATTTGGACGGTAAGGAGTCATTGTCTATTCTAGAGTGAAGGAAAATGTAACGGGGAATGAGTTCATGCCAAGGTTGTACACTAATATCACAAAACCATTTTTAAAAACCATGTTAGAGTCATTTAGTTGACAACATTTTTTATATATACACTCTTTTTATTCTAAAGAACAATCACCAAAAAAACAAAATTTGAAAAAGTGTTTTTTTTAGCCCAATTAATATAGATCATCCATTTTAGTGAGATGTTTAGATATAGGCCGCACAATGAATTTTTTCTTTCCAAAATTTTTAAGTATTATTATCATTAGATTAATAATACGACAAAAGAAAAAAATGATTTTGAATTTATTAAGGCTTGGATATTGAAATTCACCAAAAAGATGGTCGAGATTCATTGTTGGAGCACAACAATTTTGATCATATATGAGGGGTAAATTTTATTTTATTTTTTTTGAAGAAAGAGTGTGTGCAAAATTTAATGTCATAAACTTGTCAAAAACATGATGTTCTAGAGATAGGGCAAATTTTATTTTATTTTTTTTGAAAAAAGAGTGTATGCAAAATTTAAGGTCATAAAATTGTCAAAAACATGATGTTATAAAGACATGTATAAATGACATGATGAGATGAAATCATTCCCCAAATGTGATAGATTTTTTATTTTACTTTAGGAACATACATGTGATTTTGCTACTCTCTGAGGCTTCAACGACTTTAAGGAACAAACGTGTTGTGATTTGCCATCCTTTGAGGCTTCAAAGTCGCTTCTAACGGTCCCAGTACGCGATTTGAATTTTGACGAGTTTCGGTAAAATTTGGGATCATCGAAATTTCGGTCTAAATTTCGGCAGCCTTCGAGTAAATCTTGGCTCCTCTCAAACAGCACCCTTCTCTCTCTCTCTCTCTCTCTCTCTCTCTACTACTACTACGTACTACGTACGTACGACGTACGTACGTACGTACGTACGTAGTACGTACGTACGTACGTACGTACGGTACGGT